CGTATATACAAATATACATGTATCCGTGCATACATACGTATGTGTGATCAGTACAACTATGTATGTGTATGTACGATACACCACGTGCGCACGCTGCGTTTATATATACGTACTTACACATATGCGTTGTACACATATATACATGTATGTGTATGCGTGTACATATATGCGTTTATATGTACACACTTACACACACGCGTGCACACACGTATATAAACATGTACACGTGCGCAACCATATACTAGTATGTACGCGCGCGTGTGCACCGTATAACTGCACTCGCCCTCATCATCATCCTTATCGTCCTCCTCCTCTTCCCCCCCGTTCCTGCTCCTCCTCAGCCACCACCGCATCCTCTATTTCATCACCATTCGCCTGATATTTCTTCTACATCGTCGCTCATATTCGTTCCTCTCCTCCTCGTCCTCCTCTTCCTCTCCCGCATCATCATCACCACCATCATCATTCTCCACTCTAGACCCCAATACTTGCGCCAACCAATTCAACTTCAAGTTCAGTCCTGTATACAAACCTTCTACCAACCCATTCGACTTCAACTTCATATTTATGTCCAACCCGCCAATAAACCTTTCAACTTGTGTTTCAACCCTAGATCCAGACCCCTCAGCAAACCGTGCTTTTCGTTCCAACCCTAGATCCAAACCGCCAACTAACCCTTCAACTTCAATTATGTCCAACCTTTCAAACAACCCTTCAATTTCAATTTCACCCGCATATCGAAACCTGCAGCCATAGACTCAACTTCCCCCACAGACCTGTGGAATCTTAATCTTCAGTTGCAGACCGATCGCCAAACCTCCAAGCTTCAAAGCCAGCTGTTACCCTAGAGCCCAAACCCTTCCACCAACCCGTTCAACTTCGGTTTCACCCCTAGATCCAACACTTCAACCAATCCTTCACCCAACCCGTCAACCCTAGATCCAACCCTTCGCCCAACCGTTCAACCTTAGTTTCAACCCTTCGCCCAACCGTTCAACCTTAGTTTCAACCCTTCGCCCAACCCTTCGCCCAACCGTTCAACCTTAGTTTCAACCCTTCGCCCAACCCGTCAACCCGTCAACCCGTCAACCCGCCCAACCGTTCAACCTTAGTTTCAACCTGAGAATATCGCGCTCAACCGTTCAACCCTTCAACCCTTCATTTTTCAGGTTGCCGGATGCTTTGGGCAGGGGCCCGAGAACTGTGGCCCGAGAGCCACAAGCGCACCGGCCCAGGGGGGGAACATCGAGCAGGAACTGGCGACTCCATGCCGATGTCTCGGCGACAGGCCCCCGATACAGGATCCGCAGGATCCGGCGATGAATGGACGATGGGTTCGGGGGCGCACGAACATGGATTAGCGATCCATGGTGAAGCGCGCGGTCGCCATATCCATGGATCGGGGGAGGTGCCCTCCCCAAAATGCGGCCGGCGCCGCCTCGTTCGGCGGCTGGAATCCGCGATTTCCCATGGAAACGGAACCCGCCGCTAATCCACGCCCCCTTAATCCATGTTTGCGATCGCCTGATTGGTGAGCGATGCGCGCCCCCGCCCTCCCCCTTTGAGCCTATACCCCTCCCTCGCGTTGCCTCTGAGGCAGGGCGGGGTCCGCAGGTGCTACTCCTCAAGGCGAGGTGGCGGCACAGCCGCTGAGGCTGGAGCGGGACGCGCTCGCGGGAAGACGAGCTCCACGCGGGTATGCGTGGGAGCGAGCGGGCGGCCGCAGGCGGGCGTGCAATACGCTGGGTCCAGACGCGCACGCGCGCGCTCCGCTTGTTCCTCTGGCACGCCAGCGAGGTCCAGCTGGCGGTAGTGAGCATCAGCCACGACCGGTGGCAAGCCAACCACGTCCACCGTTTGTGGGGGCGAGGCGGGAACTGAAGATCCAAACGCGAGACGCGCTCACGCGCACACGCGCGCGCGCGAACGCCTGCACGTCTTCGCGCGGACGCGCGGAACTGAAAACCGCTGGCGTGCGACACCTAACTCCCGACAGATCCAACCGGAGGGGATGACCGGCTCGGGATGAGAAATATCAAGCCGCGATCGGCAACACATCGCCCGATAAATCCTCAAGTCCTAATTCCATCCTGCACGAAGACGCAACACACACGACAACGCATCCAACCACGCAGCCACGAAATGTTGGGTTCAACGCTGCATTAAACGATCCGTTAAGGCGGCCACATGTCATATAATGTCAAGACCAACAACGAAGTGTTGAGAACGCACCAGGACCAGAAGCAGATGCACCGATGCGCTCAACAACTCGAGAAACAGGTTCACAACAATAAATCCAACATCGATCGGGGATACGCTCCTGATAGCGAATCCACACGTTGCTGGGCGGGATGGGGCTGTCGGGTCCCCGACGGCGGTCAGTGGGCGATTGGAGGTCGATGCGCCCCCTTGTGCAGATCCCCCCCCCGACGCTGCCCCTTAGCTTCGGGTCGGATCTCGGCTCCTCAGCTGCCTTTCGGGACGATCTGGACACCCCCAGAGCGCTCTCGGCGAGGCTCAACCGCTGGAAGGCAACCCGAGGCTAGAAAATCGCCGAGAACCAATCGAGCCTGATTGGCCTGATCGGGGGGGGAACTGCCGTGAGCATCGAAGCGTCCCTGCGCGCAACGCCAAAGCCACGGAGAACGACGACGCGCTCCTCCCTCGTTCCCTTTTCTCTCTCCACCCCGCTCCTTCCCCCAGAGATCGGGGCCCTTCCTCCAGAGGCTCCAGGCTCCCAGAGTGCCGAAAGGGGCAAAAGCGCCCGACTGGCGCGCTCGTGGTCGTGGTGGTGACCTGGGGCGCGAGCGTGGTCTTGAACGGGAGCGCGGGCGCGTGCGGGGGGGAGGCGCAAGCCCGGGCTTGCGCCGACATTAACAGCAGGCAACGCGGGCGCGAGCGCGGGCGCGGACACGAGCGTGGGCTTCAGCGCGGGCGTGGTCGTGACCGCGGCAGCGGGCGCGAGCCTGAGCGCGGCAGCGGGAGCGGCAGCGCCTGCGCGGGCCGAGCGCGAGCGTGGGCGTGTCTGCGCGAGCGCGAGCGCGCAGGCGGGCGCCTGCGTGGGAGTGGAGCAGGGGGGCGCGGGCTCGGCAGTGCCCGAAGTCTCGGGGGTGGCTCGCCCGGCCGACCGAGCAGGCCCCGCAAGAATCGCCGTCGCCGTCGCCGTCGCCGCTGCCGCCGCCGCCGCCGTCGCCCTCCCCGTCGCCGTCGCACTGCGACGACGACGACGACGACGACGACGACGACGACGACGGCGACGGCGACGGCGACGGCGACGGCGACGGCGACGGCGACGAACGACGACGGCGACGACAGACGACGACGCGGACGACAGCGACGACGACGAATTCCGAGGAACCCTTGAGGATTCTCAAGAAACCCTCGAAGAGTCCTTAGGACACCTTTGCAAATGTCGGCAACGTCGCGTGGCGTGATCCCGAGTGGGGAAGGGCGAGGGCTGATAACGGCCGTGATCGCCCAGACCTTCAAACACACAGGTTCATGCAAGCATCTGATCCTCCAACCTCGAACGCCCAGGGCAAGAGCAGGAACGCCGTTGTCAGGTGGGGTTCGCTTTGCTAGGGAGGTCCCGAACGAAGTGAACGCCACTTCTAGGGGGGCAAAAAGTGACATGAACATAAAAACTCGGAGGTCAGCGCGGATTTCTCGGATCGGCGCTGGGGCCCCCCGGCGGCGCGCTCCGCGCGCCAGGGAGGTGGGTCCAGCGCCGATCCGAGAAATCCGCGCGGACCTATGAGTTTTTATGCGCATGCCACTTCTTCTTCCCCGAACCTCTCCCCTCAGAAATCGTGGGGTGGTGGGGTAGGGTTCGCGTGCAGCTGCAGCCCTCGAGGAGGAGGAGGAGGCGGAGGAGGGGAAGGGCGAGGGAGGAGGAGGAGGCGGAGGAGGGGAAGGGGGAGGGAGGAGGAGGAGGAGGCAGCGGAGGGGAAGGGGGAGGGTGCCTCCGCATCGCTGCAGCTGAGGCGAGCCTGTCGGGCCCAGACCTCGGGCCAAGGGTCGGAGAGCCTCCGCCCCGACCCCCTGGCGGGGCCTGCAGGGCGCGCAGCACCGGCCGTGGGCCTGGTGGCCAGCCTCGGCGCAGGTGTGTGCAGCCTTCATGCTAGGAGCTAGAGGAGCTTCGGGTAAGGAACGAAGGAGCATTTCTGGCCACGGCTAGCCTCGGCCACGAGTAGGTTTGTCACCATAGCTCGATCCCCGACCTAATCCGAGGAGCGTTTTTCATGTAGTAGATTATGCCCAAGTTTACTTGCATGGCCTTCCCCCCCCCTATCACCCTCTCCTCGCGTGACGTCTCGAAGTCCTTTCAGGCCTCGCCAGGCCCCCCCTGCAGACCCAATACTGCGTGAGGGGTCTGAATGCGATGATAACCGCGAGGTTGTTATTGTCAGCAATGACGTAAAAGTATCTGCGAATATATCAGCAATGATAGGCGATTGATGTTGCTTAGCGGCACCTGCGAGGTGTCTACCGATACGCCCAAGCTCAAGGTCCCTTAAAGGATTGAGCCCGAATAGTTACGAAAGAGCATATGCTTGCTGGCATGCTATGCTACACTGCTTACATATCAGCACTGACACTATTTATTTCACACTCGTGCAGAATTCTTCTGATCTGTGCATCTGCCGATATAGCGCATTTAGACGTGGTGATGGCACGTCAACGAGCTAAAATGAAACCAGGCGCACTGCGCGCTTGAAAAGTGAGCCGGCACTGGTCAGGTGTGCCTCGTGCTCTCCGGCCTGGTCCGTCGGCTCTTGATGCTGCAAAGCGAGACGTGTGTCTCGCAGCACTGCCCTGATGGCACTGCCGTCCGATCGCTTGGTGAGCTGATCACCGAGCTGCTGGTCAGTCGGAACCCAAAAGAGGGGTAGTTGGCTGCGCTGATCGTCAGCGACAAACTCGTTGCTAACTTCCTCTTCTAGTGACTCCTTGAGGCCCACTAGGTCGAGCAAAAGGCGCCGCTCTGACGGGAGCTTGGATTAACAGTCTTTATGCATCGTATCGTACAAGCTGGCGCAATCTGTGACCTGAGCGAGCGGCAACAGACTCGGCGGGATGTCCTCTGGATGGGCATCCGCAATCTCTAGCGAAGCGAAAACGCAGCGTGTAATCTGAGCACAGCCTAGAGCGTCTACTGCCGACATCGTTTCGGCTGCCAACGTAGATCTGCAAACTCTCTTGATGGTGCCCGATCTCCAATCAACAATTCCTGCTCGAGCTCGATCTCCGCGTAGTAGCTTGGCTCCTGCGAGAAAACTCACGTAGCCAGCCTGCGAGCGAATCTTGATCTTCTTGTCCTTACTGGTTGCCCCCACGGTCTTGGCGAGCAACTTGGAGATGGCGCCTTCAGCTGGCTCGTCAGCGTTGGCCCAACTGGCGTCGTGGTACGTCACCAGGCACAGAGGCCCACGTAACTTAGGGAACTCCAAACCCACGCCCGCGTGCTTCCGCGCCAACTTGATGAGCCTGTTCGTCTCGAGCAAGTCCTGGATGGTGGGCTTGTTCTGGGTCCGCTGCCCCATGGCCACTCCAGCTGCCAGGTCGGGACGAGTCTGCGATGAAAGCCACCCGAGCGCTCCGAGTGCGGAGCGGTTGTCCGAGAACTCGGCTGGCGTAGCATCTGACGACAGGTCCGTCTTGCGCTCCTTGCTGAGCGGAATCTCCTCGATGGTGTTCGCGTACTCGGTCTGTCGTAGATGTAGTACTTCCTCTTGATCTCGCCAGGCCTGCTTGCCGCAAAAGGTAAAAGGCAAGCCTCGCCAGTCGCCCCAGGGCAAAAGCTTGTGAAGCCTGTCGTAGAGGCCCGGGTACTCGCGCGAGATCCCCAGCAGCAAGTCGTCCACGTGGGCGACCACCACCGCACAGAGCTCACCGTGCTGGTCGTAGCCGTAGTACAGCGCTGGGTCTAGCGAGTGCTGGTGTAGGCGAAACACGTAGTTGTCGCTCAGCTTCTCCTCCACCGCCAGCAATGTCCTCTTGAGCTTCGCCCACCATTGTCTCGGTGCCGTGGCCAGCCCGAAAACTCCCTTGAGGATTTTGATCAGCTGCTTCGGGTTCAGCCCAGGCAACCCTTCGCGAGGCTGGGCCATGTACAGCTGCTGGTCGGGCTGCTCGTCGCCTTGCATGAAAGCCGCCTCCACGTCCGCCGCGTAGATCTCCAGGTCGAACCTCTGGCAGATGGTGAAGAACAGCATGGTCGAGTTGCGGGTGACCGTGGGCGCGTCCGTCCGCAGGTCGCCCTGAGCGAGGCGCGGGTCCATGTGACCCCCGACGCAGAGTCGGGCCTTTGCCTTGACCGGCAGCGGATGCTTGTCGGTCCGCAGCGGGGCGTTCTTGTCCCGGTACACGAACCGGCTGGGCAGGATGAGGCTGGGCTTGATCATGCCCCTGATCGCCTCGGACTCCTCGATGGAGAGTACCTGACAAGAGCCATACTTCTGCCACTCGCTCCACTGCTTGGCGGCCGCCTCCCTGAAGAGCTCCCGATCAGAGTCCTTGATGGCCCTCCAGTGGATCTCCTTGTCGGCCTGCTTGCGCTTGATCCTCTCGGTCACGATGGAGGTTTGCAATACTTGTCTTGGAGCCGACCTCGAACGTTGGCGGGCTCCTCCTGCTTCGGGTCCGGCCGCTGCCTCCTGATCGGGGGCCGCCGCGCGGTCCCGCGAAGTTGCCCTTGCGGGCAGGGCGCCAGAGCCTGCGTGCTCCCTCTCGGTCTGGAGTCGCTTGAAGGCCGGGCCGAAGTCGCCGCTGTCCCCTCCGTCGAAGGTAGCTCGACGTCGTCGGAACTCGCCAGGGCCGTAGGTTCGCTCTTCTTCAGCTTGTTGCGGCACGTCGGCGGGCAGCGCCTGGATCTGCTCCTGCTGGGGCGGATCCTCGGAGACGTTCAGCTTGAGGTCGCTGTCGTCCGGGTTGTCGATGAATTCCCGCCACGCCTGCTCCATCTCGTCTGGCTTGACCTCGGGCTCGCCAGGCGCCGGGCGGATGTCCTCCACCTGAGCCTCTTCTTGTTCGAGCGAGTCGCGAGCCCGGTTGAGCTCGGCCACGGCCTGACCGATCTCGTCCCTGCCGTTCGGGAACCAGACGTCGTCCGGAGCGAGTGCCTTGATGTGCTCCGGGGCCACCCGCATGGTGTGCCCTCCTAGGGAGACCCAGGTGTTCTCGCCTTGGTGGCCGATGACTACGCACGGCCCTCGCCAGATGCCCTTCTTGGCGTTGCGGTTGTACTGCTCCCGCTGCTCCTTCTTCTTGACCTGGCGAAAGACGTAGCACATCTCGCCCACTGACAAGGGCGTCGCCACCGTGCGCGCGCGAGCCAGCATAGCTCGCCGGAGCTGGTCGTCGTTCTGCATCCACATGAACGACTCGCGCGCCGCCGTCCGAATGGCATATCGGCGGCGAATCTTCTCGTCGTTGGCCGCGAGGCTGTGGGCGCTGTAGTTGGCCGTGTCGTCGACTAGGTCTCCAGGCATCTTGGGGTCGCGTCCCAGCACCCACTGCGCGGGGCTGAAGCCTGCTCGCCTTCTCAGCGAGTTCTTCGCGCCCGATACCATGATGGCCAGCGTCCGCATCTCGTCCTCGCCCCTGATCGACGAGTGCTCGATCGTCCTCGCCGCGAGCTCCTTCCACCAAGCTCCCTTGCGTTCCGCGCGACCAACCTGCCAATGTGCCTGACCAGCAATGGGCAGCTGCACTGTGTTGACTGACTGAAGCAGCTCGCTGAGGGCGCCGCCGAACCCCTTCTCCATGTCGAAGTGAACTCGGTCGGGTACGCCCGCCAACGAGGCCCAGCACCTCTCGAACGCGGCAGCGAACTCCTGGCTGGTGTGGCGATCGATCAGCGTCGCGACATGGAAGGTGGTGGCCAGGTCGACGATGCTGAAATACCAGTAGCTCTTGCCGTCGACGTCCTTGAGCTCGAAGCAGTCGAAGCCGACGTCGTCTCCAAAATCTTGCACGAAGTGGAGGTGCGCTGGTCTCCTCGCGCTCGGGCGCTGCTGCGAGCGGCACACCCCGCAGATCAGCCCCTCGACGGCCTGGACGGTGGCCGACTTAGCGCCTTTGAGTCGCAAGCTGCGGCCCAAATCTTCATTAGACGGATGGCCCAAATTGACATCGAGTCTCTTGAGCATGGCCAGCTCGGCTGGCTTGCAGCAGGCCGCTGCTTTCTTTGTGAAAGCAATCGCGCCGACCCCGATCCTGCCGTCCACAGTATCTTCGGCCCGCGCGTCGTGAGTGTCGGCGAAGTCGTCTCCGCCGCCTATGGGGTCTGGGTTCTCATCAGGCTCGCCCGTCTCTCCCAGGGGCGCGGTGTCGTTTACGTAGGCGGCGGCCTGCTCCCTGGGCACTGTCACGATGAAGGGCGACGAGTGCGACTGGCAGTCCACCTGGTAGGCGCGATGCCCTCCTTGCCGCCGAATCACCTGCTCCACAATGCGCGCCACCGCTCTGCAGAACTTAGCGGGGTAAACGCCAGACTTGCGCACCGCCACGTTGCCCCCAAAGGTCTGGTCGTGGTGCCTGCGGCTGCAGGTGCGCTTCAGCTGCTCGAACTCCTTGTGGGTAACGAGCAGCTTCGTGGGGTGCTTGATGAGCCCCCCCGCCTTGTAGTGTCGAGCTCCGTACTCGCACATGTCGCACCTCACCTGGTACACGCGCTCGTCTGCCAGTAGCTCCAAAATCGCGCGCTGTGTCCAGAGCCGGCTGGTGGCCAGGTTCTCGATCATGGCCATGTCGCTAGAGTCGAGCTGGTACTTGAAGAGGTCGCGGGCCAATCAAAGGAACGGCCGCTCCGTCCTCCAGATCCGTCGGAGCGCCTGCCTGGCCTGCGGCGTCCGAAAGTTGAGGTGCGTGATGTTCGTGCAGTGGGTGCAGGGTAGCTCGATTGACACGTACTTCGGCCTTGAGGCGTAGTACAGGTCGTACGTCGCGTCGAGGTCCTTCTGCTTGCGTAAGTCCCATCCGTATTTGCGGTCGATCACCTCTGTGGCCGTCATCCGGCGCTTCCACGCCGCCTCGGTGATGCCGCCTTCGCCTCCGAACACCTGCGTGACGTCCACGCGGTGGCTGCGAACGCTGTAGGCCTCCTTGACGTCCTGGACGTGGTCGACGACGTCTCGCGCAGCACTGGTAGCGTGCTACACCACGGGCTTGAGAGGTCTAGCCAGCCAGTCCGCGGTGAGCACCGTCTGAGAGGCGAAGGCGCTCAGCAAGCCCGTGACCTGGTAGAGGAAACCGACGCGCTTGCCCTTCTTGATGCCTGACCGCCGCCTCGGGGCTGGCGACCCGTCCTGGCGGCCACCGCCGCCTAGTCCCTGCTCTGCTGAGGTTCCCGGGAGCCGCTCGGGCGATCCTCCTTGTCGGCCTCGCCCGCCTTCTCGAAGCCCATGTCGCTGGTGTCCATCTCGCGCGGCCCCGGAGGTCGCTGGCGCCGATGCCCGGCCCAGCTCCCCCGGCTTCCTGAGGCCCTCGTAGTCGTAGCCGCTGGCGCCACCCATTCGTCGTCCAGCAACCACCTCCTCGGCCATCACTGCCTCCGAGATGGTCTTGGCCTTCTCGGGGGAAGGGGCTGCACTCCGTGCGCCTTTACCCACCTGGCAAACCGCGCCAGGAGTGGGCTTGCCCGATTGTTGTTGAGTTCCAGGACCGCCCACTGCGCGTAGCCCAGGTCGTTCTTGAGCACCCAGCGGTAGTCCGCCGTGGGGCACTTGCCAAAGCGCATCTTGTCGGCCCCGGTGATCTGTGAGCTCGGATGAGCCACCGTCGCCGCGGCACTGCTGACCGCGTCCTCGACCTTCCAGCCCTTGAGGCGCTGCCTGAGCTCCGGCACGGGCGCGCGCTGGTCGAACTCGATCTGGCGGTCCCGACGCAGCTGCTGGAGCTCCTCCTTGTTCTTCTTGCCGAGCCCCGGGATGTAGTCGCCCTGCGGCGTGCTCTCGCGGCCCTCAGCCCTCAGCGCACGCAAGATCACCCGGAGCTGGTCGCACGTGGCGTCGCGCGCATCCAAGTCGTAGCTTGCCACCTCGGCCTGCAGCTCCGGCATCCGCATGCTGGATATCGCCGGAAGACGGGCAGTACTCGTCGTCGGCAAGTTCTGGCCGCTGCCCCCCGGGCTCGTCTCCTTGGGAGATGTCGCACATCGCTGGTGCGACGGGGGCATAAGCGCCGGCCGCTGGTTCGTGGAAAGCTGCGGTGGCTGGATCTGCCACGGCGCGCGTCGTACTCGCTGGTGGAGCCAAAATTGAACTCGAGCCGGATGGCTGCGGTGATGATGTAGTTTGATGACTGCGTGCTGATGGCTGATCTCCTGGCTCGCTACGGCTTGCTTGCTGCTGAAATCGAACATGCCGTGACTGAGTATCGCTGCGAGGTTTAGCTCCCCGTTCGTCATGATCGTGGTTTGTCTGCATAATCTGTGCTGTGCTGACTGACCTAGTACACACTCCCCAGGCCTCGTCTTCCGATCCCGATGACGATTGACGCGATGGAATGCATGCGCTCATGGCCTGGCGCACCTGCTGCTCGAACAGTTCGGCGCTACCGAGCGCATTGCAATCAGTATCCGACGGAGACTCGTCGGCCTCCGAAGCAACTCCTGGGTGGCGAGCCTCGGGCACCACCGGCTTGGCGGCGCTGGCCACAGCTGTCTCAGCATGGTAAGAAGCGCAAGGATGAAGACGAATCTCGGCCTTGGTATCCGAGACGTCCAAAACGGGCTTATAAATCGGCGCGAAGCCTGCGATGTCCAGCGTCGGGTGTCCGGCGCGGCTCAGGCCCAACTGGATGTTGTGCTCGTCGATCGACTTGATGTCCAGCTTGTTGTCTCCGGCGTGGTAGACTATGTCCAGCTCGCTCTGGGCCTTGCGGCTGAACAGTCCTGGCACGGCGCTGCGCACGATGCTCATGCGGACGGTGAAGGCCTTCCGTTCACCGAACAGGGGATCAGCGCCGCCTTGAGGCTGAACACCACCTTCGACGCCCCGAACCGGAACGGCTCCTTCTCGGGGTACTCGATGGGCTGGATGTTGAAGGCGGCCAGTCTCTTCTTGATGTCGCTGTACCAGTCGAGGCCGCCGACGCACCGAGCGCAGGCCGTGTCGAAGGTCAGCTTGCCCCCCGACTCCTTCAGTAGGTCCTCGACGCTGAGTTAGATCAGCGCCGAGCTCGTCGCGGCCATCAGGCACTGGTGGTCCTCATTGATGAAGAACGCCGCCGCCGTAACTTCTTCGGGTAACTCGGCGGCCTGGCGGATCTGCGCCCAGTCGATGCTGTGCAGCGCGCCGTACTTCCTGTCGCGAGCCGCGGCCCGCTGGTCCTGCTGGTAGACCGCCGCGACCGTCATCTCCGCCACGTGAGGCTCCTGCGCGTCGCTGGTCTCGTGCGTGGCGATGTTCGTCCTGTTGCTTCCCTTCTTCGGGATGTCGGCCTCGGCGTTAGGGTCGTTCTTCTTCGAGCACTGCGGGTCACCGCGCCAATGGCCCTTCTGGCCGCATGCGCCGCAGTGTGTCCTGGCCTTCATCTTGGCGATCTTGGGATCGTCTCTCTTCGGCGGGTTGCCGCCGTCGCGCTTGGCGAAGTAGCCACGCGCCTGCTTCGCCTCCTTCAGCTTGTCCTTGGCGCGCACCATCTTCTTGGTGAAGAACGCTACCTGCTCCTCCGCCTCGTCGATCACGCCCTGCAGCTCGTCGGGCAGCTCGTCCTCGTAGTCGTCGGAGCTGTCTGAGGACGCGCCGTCGAGCTCGGCCCTACGATCCTCCTCGTAGGTCTCCGTGGCGTACGCCCGCTTGTGGTCCTTATTCTTGTGACCTCAGTAGCCTCCTTTGTCGTGGCTGTCCTTGTTGCCGTCCACGACCGATCCCTTGGGCAAGTTGATCATCAACTGCTCCTGGATCTTGGTGGGGTTGAACTGGTTGCCCACACCGTTGAGCACGCTCGCCGCGCGCTCCGGGGGCAGGCGGGCCCCCTTGATGTACAGGTCCGCCAAAACCTCGTCGGGCACTTGGATGCCCTTGGCCTTCAGTTTGGTGGCGATCCCATTGAAGCGGTTGTTGTAGTCGCGGATTTTCTCGTACTTGTGCCGGACGCAGGCCGGGCGCACGAAGGTCTCCAGCAGCGCTGGGGTCTCCAGCACTTCGATCTCGGGAAAGCGCTTCCCGAGGTACTCCAGGAACACCTCCACCGAGTCGTCACCCTTGATGGCGTCCAGGTCGAGCTCCTCGCACGCCTCCTCGGCCTTGCCCTTGAGGCTGGCCAGCAAGGTCGCTCCCTGCTTGGGCGGCTTGACCTCGGTGCCGATCTGCCAGGTGGCGACCTCTCGGCGGTACGTCTTCATGGTCTTGCTCGTGCCATCGAAGACGGGTGCGGGGATCTTGCCCCCGTTGCTCTTGTCCTCGCCGCTGGCTGCAGCGGCTCCTCCTGTCGTTATGATGGCGACCCCGAATGAGAGGTACAGTCGCAATGACACGAGCCTGTAGTGCTTGCGAAATGACTCTGCAAAGTCGCGCACGTAGCTGCCGTGGTCGAGTTAGCTCCTGCTACCAATGCAGACCCAATACTGCGTGAGGGGTCTGAATGCGATGATAACCGCGAGGTTGTTATTGTCAGCAATGACGTAAAAGTATCTGCGAATATATCAGAAATGATAGGCGATTGATGTTGCTTAGCGGCACCTGCGAGGTGTCTACCGATACGCCCAAGCTCAAGGGCCCTTAAAGGATTGAACCCAAATAGTTACGGAAGAGCATATGCTTGCTGGCATGCTATGCTACACTGCTTACATATCAGCACTGACACTATTTATTTCACACCCCCCCCTCCTTCCCTTCTTCCTCCTCCTCCTCCTCCTCCTCCTCCTCCTCCTCATCTTCCTCCTCTTGCTCGTCCTCGTCCTCCTCCTCGTCCTCGTCCTCCTGCTCGTGCTCGTCCTCGTCCTCGTCCTCGTCCTCGTCCTCCTCCTCCTACTCCTCCTCCTCCTCTTCCTTCTCCTCCTCCTCTATGCAAAAAATAAAAAAGTTTGCCGGGATCTCGAGCACAACCGCATCCGGGCCGAAGGCCGCGCGCACGGCCCCGCGGGGGGGGCGCCGCAGGCTCGGACACCGGGGGCGGCGCTGGTTTCGGATGAGCGCGAGCTCGCCGAAGTAGTCGCCGATGCCGTAGGACATCACCTGGGGCGCCCCCCCCCCAGACGAGGCAGCCCCCTCGCCATCGTTCGGACGTCCATTTCCCGTGCATGTTTCGGTGTCGTGCGTGTTTTTGTTTGCTCGATGGTCCAGGATCGTCCTCAATGGTTCTCGCCGAGAAAAAATGCACACGTCCGAGCGATGCCAGGCCCTGGAAAGTCCAGATCGTACAGGGGAACAGAGAATGGCGTAAGCATAAAAGCTCGGAGGTCTGCGGGGATTGCTCGGATCGGCGCTGGACCCCCCTCCCTGGCGCGTCCGAGAAATCAGCGCAGCGGCGTTCGGCCTGGAGCGCCCGCGCTGGGACCGCCACCCGCGTCAGCGTGGCGCGGGCCCACGACGATCCGAGCAGAGCACGCCTGTCGCGCCGTAGGCCGCGTGTCCGCAACCAGCGTCGGGATTTGGTTCGCAACGCGGACACGCGACGTGCAAACCCGCCCGTCTGACGCCAATGACTCCGAGTATTCGCATGCCCGCCCAACTTGCCTTCCCCTGCAGCACGTGGGCTCCAGAGATCTGAGAGCCCCCCCTGGGACAAGATCTTCAGCCCAAACCGCTTTCTGGATGGAGAGGAAGATAACGGGGACCATGACCGAGACTGAACGCGAAGTCAATCTTGGTCCCCCGTCCATCTTGGTCAGCGTTTAATCGTGGATCATCCTCGAGAATCGGCCACGGCCAAAATGCACCATGACCATGATCGGCATCGACTGGATCCAACGAAATATTGGTCATGGTCCCCGTGTTTGTTCCCTCGACTGGAGGTGCCAAGGGGCCCAGCCAGGGCTCCCCCGGATGCCGGAAGCTGTGAACACCACCATGTTTTTCTGGGGGGGGGCACGTCCCCATCTGCTAGCCCCAACTTCGAATCTTTCTTGCCAGCGCTGAGCTGTACCCCAAAAGGTGATATCTCAGATATTGGGGGCTAAGCGGCCACGCGCACGAGACTGCGAACGGCCACGAGTTACCTCCTGCCCCTGGCCAACATGTGAACATCACCATCTTGATGGTTATGGTGCGTCGGGAGTCTCAAAAGGTACCCCCCCCAGCCTGGGGAGGCCAGTCGCCCCGAGCGATTTCTCGGAGTGTTCCACGCCTTCCCCCTCTGGGAGGCCGTGGAGGCCTAGCTGATGTGCAAGACGCTGAGGCAGCTTTCGGCAAGCCAGAGCTGAAAAGAGGCGCTGCAGACCAAACCAGAACACAAACACGGCAGTGCAGAGGAGAACACAACATCAGCAACAACACCACCATACCAACAACCACAACAACAGCACCAATCAGTGTAAGAATGTTCGCTCTTATCTGCTCGCGTGCCATTCAACCCGTATATCCCAAACCCTCGGTACCCGCCCACTTCGTCTTCGATCCTCCCCCCTTGGGGGTATATCTTCCTTACCTGCAGCGCGTATTTCATGCAATCCCTCAGGCAGGGGAAGAGAGGAAGGATGGAAGGAAGGGAAAAGGGGGAGACAGGTTGCTGAAGCGCGCGTCGTGCATGAACCGCGAGTATGTCTCGAGCGACAGCGCGATTCCCAAATATATCGTTAGGAAATCCACAGCGAGAGCGTGATTCCTGATTGTCGAGGGCGCGGCGTCTGAATACATCGCAAGGAATTTTCACGCGGGAGCGCGATTCCTGCATGCATTGAAAAAGAAGTCCCGCGAGAGAACGCGATTTGGAAATACATGATGAAGGCGTATCAAGCGTGAACCGGTGTTGCCGCTAACCGGGGGCTAACAACCCAATTCCGAGACCCAAGATTCCGTGATAAAAGGACAGGGTGCGAGCCCTGAGCAGGGCACTTCCATTGAAAAATACAACGTGCCCTGGAGGGGGGATGAAACATCATTAGTGCTCAAGAATGAAAGTTCAGCAGCAGCAACAACAACAACAGCAACAGCAACAGCAACAACAATAACCTGGTGGATGCGTATACTGGGTGCCCGTCCCACGGGAGCCCTGTCCCGAACTCCGCCCAGGGGGTGGAGGCGTACCCTGGCTATCCGTGCACCCCTCCTCCCCCACACACACCCACACACCCACACCCACAACCACAGATTCACCCCAAGCCACTGGAGCCATGAGAATTCTACACTATGGGACGCTACATATCCCTAGACACCAAAGGCGTGTTTTCCAGCAAGGCGAGCTTGACAGGGACGGTAGAAGGATCATCGTAGGAACTCCCCACTACAACTCATATGAGGAGCTCCCAACTACGACTCATAGGACGACCTCCCAACTACGACTCGTAGAACGAGCTCCTTACTGCGAACCATCGTATGGCTCCCTACTATGACTCATGTGGGAGCTCCATTCTACGACTCATGAAACAAGCTCCCTACTACGACTCACACTGGGAGCTCCCTACTACGACTCATAGAGGGAGCCTGTGCTCACAACTACGATTCATAGAACGAGCTCCCTACTACGACTCATCGTACGAGCTCCCAACTGGGACTCATAGTAAAGCCCCTCACCACGACTCATCGTAGGAGCTCCTTGCTGCAACTCATAGAACGAGCTCCCTACTACGACTCCTACTGGGCACTCCGTACTATGACTCATAGGAAAGACTCCCCACTGGGACTCATAGTAGAGACTCCCTACTGGGACCCGTAATAAAAAAAAACATACTGGTACTCCTACTGGGGACTCCGTACTACGACTCATTCTAGGGACACTGTATTACTACTGATAATAGAGACTCCCTACTGGGACTTATACTCGGGATTCCGTACTATGAGTCACCGTAGCGGCTCCGTACTACGACTCATGGTACTGGGGGCACCCGAACGGAAGTCATACGAAGGACCCCGTACTATGGCTCATAATAAGGCTCCGTACTACGGCTCATAATATCGAGAATCTGTATGGACCCCGTACTATGAATATATGAGGGTATCTCTGCGATGTGTCATCGCAGCGAGTCCCTGTAGGGACTCCGTACTGAGTCCGTACTGTGAGTCATGGTGGGAACACCGTGCTATGAGTCATAGCTGCGAGTCTATGCGGGGACACCCTACTATGAGTCGCACGCAGTAGGGACTCCCTACTAGGAGTCATATTAGGGACTCCCTACTACGAGTCATAATAAAAGACTCCGTACTATGACTACTAGTGGGAAGCCCCTACAATGAGTCATAGTACGAAAGCCCAACTATGGCTCAAAGTATGGATGGAGTCTATACTAGGACTTGTAACAGAAGCCTCCTGCTATACGCCATAATAGAGATTAAGTGTCCTCTGCTATGATTCACTGTCCGAGAGGAGACTCCCTACTACGACTCAGAGTAGCCCTACTATGAGTCACAGTAAAAGACTCCTACTGTGAATCATGATAAGAGCTCCCTACTACGACTCATACTGGGGACTGTCTACTGTGAGTCCGAGTGGGGGGCTCCCTACTATGAGCCATAGTAGGGACACCGTTCGCTGACTCATAATAGGGTCTCCCTACTATAAGTCATAGTAGGGACTCCTTGTTATGACTCATAGTAGAGACCCCCTACTACGACTCACAATCGAAGCCCCCTACTAGTGGGTCATAACAGAAAACTCCCGAATACGACTCATTGTGGGAGCTCTTGACCATGAGTTATTGTAGGGACTTCTTATTCTGAGAGACGCACTACACCGAGTTATGGTAAGAGCTCCATGATATGACTCATACTAGCGATCCTTACGATGGTTCATAAGATGAGATCCCTGCTTTGCTGATGCTGCAGACCAGACGCATTGGAAAAAAAAACATCATGTTCGCTTAAGCGCTTGCCTTCACAGGCGAATCGGCCAGCATTCGCACTCGCTGGCAGCGTCGACCATACACCATACTAGACAAACGTAGCGTGCGTGCGCGAACCCCGGACGGCCTCTAACCGTTTACATAATACACACACGCAGAAAACCAAATGCGTCGCATAACGTAGCATAAGCAAAAACACCGATCGCTCCGGACCCGGGCCAATCCGAGCCGGCAGCAGCGCTGCAAACTGACATTTTCACGGCAGACGAACCCCCAAACAGCACGTGCTACACCACGTCGTCCCGCACAAACGGAACCAACACAGAATCACCAGCCAAAGAACACTCGCCGTAAGCTTCCTGCAACGCCACGGGCGGACAAATCGTCCCCCCCCTGGGGACTGCAAGAGCCCAGACACATGTTACGAAGACTTGCCGCAAGCAAATTACGCTACCGAGGAACCCCACATACTGATTTTATGTCTTGTGTGAACCGCGCTACCACTACCACCGCCGTCATGCTCTCAGGTGCCCCCTGTGGTCGTTGAAAGGAGGGGGAGGACGTGTGGCGGGAGAGGAGGGGTTGAGGAGTCATCTGTGACGGTCATATCCGGCGTCGCCTGGCACTTGGATACGAGAGGTAATACGCAATCCCGCATTAGAGGCTATGCCTGGACGACCCTGGCACGCATAGGGAGACCACCCCCTGCGCACCCCCTCTGGTGTCGAGAAAATGCCACGCCTGCAATGCCTGGACGACCCTGGCGCGCATAGGGAGACCACCCCCTGCGCACCCCCTCTGGTGTCGAGAAAATGCCACGCCTGCAATGCCTGGACGACCCTGGCACGCATAGGGAGACCACCCCCTGCGCACCCCCTCTGGTGTCGAGAAAATGCCACGCCTGCAATGCCTGGACGACCCTGGCACGCATAGGGAGACCACCCCCTGCGCACCCCTCTGGTGTCGAGAAAATGCCACGCCTGCAATGCCTGGACGACCCTGGCACGCATAGGGAGACCACCCCCTGCGCACCCCCTCTGGTGTCTGCCACGCCTGCTATGCCTGGACGACCCTGGCACGCATAGGGAGACCACCCCCTGGTGTCCTGCCACGCCTATGCCTGGACGACCCTGGCACGCATAGGGAGACCACCCCCTGCGCACCCCCTCTGGTGTCGAGAAAATGCCACGCCTGCTATGCCTGGACGACCCTGGCGCGCATAGGGAGACCACCCCCTGCGCACCCCCTGGTGTCGAGAAAATGCCACGCCTGCTATGCCTGGACGACCCTGGCACGCATAGGGAGCACCCCCTCTGGTGTCGAGAAAATGCCACGCCTGCTATGCCTGGACGACCCTGGCACGCATAGGGAGACCACCCCCTGCGCACCCCCTCTGGTGTCGAGAAAATGCCACGCCTGCAATGGACGACCTGGCACGCATAGGGAGACCACCCCCTGCGCACCCCCTCTGGTGTCGAGAAAATGCCACGCCTGCTATGCCTGGACGACCCTGGCACGCATAGGGAGACCACCCCCTGCGCACCCCCTCTGGTGTCGAGAAAATGCCACGCCTGCTATGCCTGGACGACCCTGGCACGCATAGGGAGACCACCCCCTGCGCACCCCCTCTGGTGTCGAGAAAATGCCACGCCTGCTATGCCTGGACGACCCTGGCACGCATAGGGAGACCACCCCCTGCGCACCCCCTCTGGTGTCGAGAAAATGCCACGCCTGCTATGCCTGGACGACCCTGGCACGCATAGGGAGACCACCCCCTGCGCACCCCCTCTGGTGTCGAGAAATGCCACGCCTGCTATGCCTGGACGACCTGGCACGCATAGGGAGACCACCCCCTGCGCACCCCCTCTTGTGTCGAGAAAAGTGCCACGCCTGCCATGCCTGGACGACCCTGGCACGCATAGGGAGACCACCCCCTGCGCACCCCCTCTGGTGTCGAGAAAATGCCACGCCTGCTATGCCTGGACGACCCTGGCGCGCATAGGGAGACCACCCCCTGCGCACCCCCTCTGGTGTCGAGAACATGCCACGCCTGCTATGCCTGGACGACCCTGGTGTGGGGTGCTGCGCTGTGCTGTGCTGTTCTGAGTTGAGCTGAGCTGAGCTGTGCTAAGCTGTGCCGTGCTGAGCTGAGCTGAGCTGAGCTGAGCTGAGCTGTGCTGAGCAGTGCTGTGAGGAGGAGGGGAGGTGTGAGGTGAGACGCGGGTGCGACGCGGCAGGGAAGAAAACCAGAACCCCACGAAGCATGTGGGGAAAAATGCCACGCCTGCTATGCGTGGACGACCCTGGCGCGCATAGGGAGACCACCCCCTGCGCACCCCCTCTGGTGTCGAGAAAATGCCACGCCTGCTATGCCTGAACGACCCTGGCGCGGATAGGGAGACCACCCCCTGCGCACCCCCTCTGGTGTCGAGGAAATGCCACGCCTGCTATGCCTGGACGACCCTGGCGCGCATAGGGAGACCACCCCCTCTGGTGTCGAGAAAATGCCACGCCTGCTATGCCTGCTACCCCCTCTTGCCGTGTGTATGTGTATGATGCGTGTGCGGCCATATCGGGACATATCTCACGTGTTGCCCAGTATGTCGTGCAGACGTCTTGGGTGTATGATGCAGTGAACATGCGTCTTGTATGTGCGAATGTGTGCATGCGTGCGGCTGTGTGCGAATGTGTGGGTGAGGAGGCGGGAGGTGTGAGACGCGGGTGCGGCGCGGCAGGGAAGAAAACCATAACCCCACGAAACATGTGGGGAATCAACGACCAAAAACCGGAGACCAAGCTCCGTGAACGACCACGTATACTTAAACTCCGGCCGATACCCAGTATGGCCGATAAAATACAAACCAATGTTTTTGTTTCATCGCATCGAATGCGCAACAGAGGCGCCAAACTGAAACTGAACACTGCGAGATGCAATGCGATTCTAAAGTAACAACAGGATAGCGAACGGTCGAAAGAGAGAAACAACTACGCCTCAGCATGTACGACGCGCCTGGCTTTGCCGCCCCCCCCCCCCTCTCTTGCATGTTGGCGCCTGCTCGCCGTGTTTTTCTCTCCCCCCTCGTCCCTCGCCCCTCCTCCCCTCCCCCTGCCTCCCTCCCTCTCCGGGCAGCGCAGCCTACCCCGAGCCGGCGTTGCGAAGCAACGTGTTGCTCTTCCCGCAAGGAGCTTACGGCATGCTTTTGGCGTGTCGGGGCCGCCTCGTTTGGAGGGGGCTGTGGCGCTACGAAGGCACTTACGCGAGAGCCAGTCGGGCTGGGCCACCCGGAAGGAGGAAAAGGAGGGAGAGCAGGAGGACTGCACCGACAACCGACGAACGGAATCAGAGAAAAGAACAAGAAATCAGGCACAGGCCGAAGGCCGGGCCGCAATCGCCATCACATGGACAGAGAAGTCCAGCAGCGAAGGGCGTGGAGGATCAGGACTGTTTCCGAGGGCGCTTGAACGCGCCCGGCTTACGAGAGCTCGGGACTTCGCGTGATTCTCCGTCGCTTGCCGCACGCATCCCAAGAACAATTTCGAAGCATCATGCCTCGCCGCACCATGCCGTATAGAGCCGTGAACGCGGTACGTGGCATACACAGCGATCGCCCGGAGTGCTGCGACCTCCCCATTGTCCAGGCTGGAGTTCGCCCACGGCGTCGAAGCCGCCACCAAATCGATGAAGTCGCATAGTAAATTTTCGGCGGGAGGCCAGGAGATCCCGAGGAATTTGGCAAAGATCGCGTGGTAACAACTGCAGCCCGCGTAATGTTCAATCGTATCGGGCCCAGCACGCGACAAGTCCAACGATCCAGGCAGCGACGCACATGCACCAAGGCAGTCTGTTCATAGCGGGGGCGAACAATATTCGTGAACCGCGCCTGCCAGCCACCACGGTCATGCTCTGGATGATGAGGATCAGAAAATACGCGGTCCCCTGGGACGCAAGATCGTAGAGCGTCCAGCACGGCGTCCAGCGAGAACACGAAACAACCTTTGAACCACTCGGTATATCGCACGCGCCGCTCGTGGTCGCCACATCCTGCAAGCAGTCGCTGGAGGGTGGCAGCCCGGGTGCGCACCCGCAGTTCTCCATGACGAGCATCTTCGTGGAGGCCGACGCGCGCCCGCGCAGCGACCGCAGCGGTCAGCAGGTCAGGGAGTTCCCTGGGATAGTTTACGTGCCAGAGCGACCTCAGGAGCTCTGGCGTGCACCAGCCAAGGGGGTCCGGGGAAGCGGCGCCGTATGGCGTTGATCTCGAGGGCGCCGCAGTTGGACGGTAGGGGGTCGAGTTGGGCAGGGAACGTCATGACAGGCAGGATGAAAACTCTGAAAGCTTCGATGGCGTGCAGCATGCCCGCGCGCGCGGCACCCCAAACCGAAGACCGTTCAAAAAATTGAGCCGCTGCAGAATCCCAGCTAACTTCGCCCCGGCCAGGGCCCACGACAAAGGCAGGATATTTGGCGTGAGAAGCAATCTTGAACGAACCCCAACGCGGCGCCACTTCGTTCAAGCACGACTGGACCTCGTCCACCGGTATTGGGCGGGGCGGGACCAGCACCGATTTCTTCGCATGCAGAGCCAAGCCCGAGACCCTCTCAAAATCCGAAACCACCGGTTCCAGGAGGACGTCGCGCCACACACTCCGGGAGACGAGCGCCAAGTCGTCGGCGTAGCCCCTCAGCGTGCAGTCAGGCAGGAGCCGGCTCACTCTCCTCATCAAGACGTCGACGGCGACCACGTCCACGGCGCGGAACGAGGCCAAGGAGGAGCACGCTCCTGCTGCGCTCGAGGCAGCAGAGGCTGGGCGCATGTGGAGCAGCCCCCCTCTCCCCTGGCTGCGGGCCACAGCCAGACAAGGCCAAGACAAATGGTATAGGAATGGGCCCAGGGACATCATCAAGACAACCCTGACGCACCCTGCGGGTGATGGCGAACCCGCCCCTCCGCACGCCTCCGACGAACGCGTCGCAGTAGTTCTGACTGGACAGAATATCGACGAAGTGCAAAGGCCAGGGCGGCCAATTTAGCTCCTCGAAGACCGCGCGGGTGAACGGATGCTCGAAGACGTGCTATTAGTCGTAGGACCAGAACCACAACCACAACCACAACAAGAACAACACCAATAACACCAACACTCACACCAACAACACCGCCACCGGCAACAACAACAGCGCAAGGACACTCTCTCAGGCCACCCCGGCGGGGCCCGTGGGAGTGTCCTCGCCCCCGGGGCGAGCGCACTGCCCCAGGCCACACGTTGCAGTTGTTGCCCCGGGGGGGGGGGGAGCAATGCGCAACACCTCTGTCATACGCTAACGTAAATCTATATGTGTTTCCGAATCTCCGTTGGCTCCCTTACTGTTCCCCACGCACTCCTGTGTCCGAAAACCGACCACGCGCCTGCGAGGCCAGCTCCTCATCCTGTTAGGACTCCTATGGAATCGTAGAGGACCCTGTAAGGATCCTATAGGATCCCTATAGGACTCCTATGGAATCGTGCAGGACCCTGTAAGGATCCTATGGGATCCCCATAGGGTTCCTATGGAATCGTGCAGGACCCTGTAAGGATCCTATGGGATCCCCATAGGGTCCCTATGGAATCGTGCAGGACCCTGTAAGAATCCTATAGGATCCCTATAGGGTTCCGGTGGGATCCTGTTGGACCTTGTAAGGATCCTATAGGACCCCTATAGGGTTCCGATGGAACCGTGCAGGACCCTGTAAGGATCCTATAAGATCCATATACGGTTCCTATGGAATCGTGCAGGACCCTATACGGATCCTATAGGACCCCTATAGGGTTCCGATGGGATCCTGTTGGGCCTTGTAGGGACCCTAGAGGACCCCTCTCGGGCTCCGATGGAATCGTGCAGGACCCTGTAGGGACCCTATAGGACTCCTATAGGGTTTCTATGGGATCCTGTTGGGCCCTGTAAGGATCCTACAGGATCCCTGTAGGGTCCCGATGGAATCGTGCAGGACCCGGTAAGGATCCTATAGGATCCCTCTAGGGTTCCTATGGGATCGTGCAGGACCCTGTAAGGATCCTATAGGAATCCTCTGGGGTTCCTATGGAATCGTGCAGGACCCTGTAAGGATCCTATAGGATCCGTCTAGGGTTCCTATGGAATCGTGCAGGACCCTGTCAGGATCCGCGAGTCGGGGGGCCCTCTGGGGCGGTGTTGGGCCCTCTTGGGGGCCTCTTGGGCCGTATTGGGACGAGCTTGGGGGCCTCTTGGGTCGCCTTTGACGTCGTGAAAGCTCGAGTGACTTCACGAAGCCAGGGTAAGAAGGGCCGCAGCTTAAGGAGCTCTCGCTCACGATTTGGCGGTGCGCTGTTTCGGCTCGACATGAATTCGGCGTTGCAAGAGTATCTTGGCAGGCGTCTCGGGAACGTCTTGAAGCCTGTGGGGCCTCTTGGGGGCGTATTGGGGGCCTCTTGGGGGCTTCTGTAGGGCTTCTTGTGGCTCCGAGGCGGCGTCTTGAAAGGCCCGTGGAGCCTCTTGGGAGGCTCTTGGGAGCGGGTGGAGCTTCTTAGGAGCGCTTTTGGGGGCGGATGGGGCCTCTTTGGAGCACATGGGAGCGACTTTGAAGCCTCTTGTGGGGTCCTTATGGGCCTCTTTGTTCCCCCACTAATAATACAGTCTCTCCAAATTACGTATGGTGATGAGACAGATGGCAAGAATGCGCACTCCAAACCATGAACATCTCGGTCCGTATTGTTCTCACTGGCGTCCACTCCTGCCATGCGATTTCCACCCCTTGTGGAGACTGTCAGCCCACGTCTTGAATACATTCTCGTATATGCCGACGCCCCGTCGCGTGCTGTTGTCGAAGACAACCTTACTCGAAGGCCGGAGAGCTTCTTGGATTGAAAGGCCAATTCGCGCATCCGAAGCATCGTGACTGTAATCCCAGTCCCCGTCCCAGTCCTTCATGAATGCGAAGTGCTTGCTTTGCCCGATGTTACCACTCGGCCCAAGAACAACTGTCACGCGAGGCACATAGAAGGAGAAAGCGATGATGCGGCAGTGCAAACTTGTGGAAATCAAAAGCGTTGCTCTGGATATTAAAGCACTTATATCCCAAATGTTGAGCCCATCGAATATGGTCACAGCAATTGAAGAGTCTGTGTTTTCAAGCCTGGACTTCATAGCCTCATACGGCTTCAGAGCATCGTGGCCAGGCGCAGCGCCTGCTCGGAACATGACGATGCTGGCGTTGTTCGTTCTCGCCGCTGCCAAAATAGCATCAACAAATCCATCGTCAAAGTGAACTTCCGTCCTGAACTGCCAAACGAAATATCTCCCCATTGGTAGGCCGCTTGTGCGAAGAGATATGGACTCGCCAAACAAAATGTTGATCATGATCACGCTGTCTGGGGCCGCCAGGCAGTCTTCGTAGCCAGCCCGATGAAGATTTTGGCGGAGCGTGCAATGGTCAAACCAGCTCTGATTGATTATTGAGGTGCCTACACCTCCAATTGTGTTGGCGATGAACAAGCCAGGTTTGGCAAACTCGTCCTTGGGCAGCAAGTAGGAAAGGCTGCGGCCTCTGTGCATGAAGTCGCCCCGATTGCAAGCTTTGAAACCACCTCCAAAAAAACCCAGCGCACTATCGAGCGACAAGTCATGGAGAGTTTCCCCTCCACAAAAGATCACATCGAGAGAGCCATTGTACATGTTGGAGAACAAAGAGCCAACGCCGATGACAAGATGACCGCCATACGCCCGCATATCGGCGCCTGCAACGTCAGCATGCAAGAAATCGTCGGGACAGAAACCGTAGCGTCTTTGCAGCATCGTTTCCACGATCCACGGCATCAGCATATCACCGAAATTGTGCCGACCCATAGCGCCATACAAAAGCACCTTGCGACCATGCGGAATCACTTCAGTGCACCCTGAGCTGCTCGACTGGCTCGCGCCATGCAATGCACTCTCCCTGGGGCCTGTGCACCCAGCACCTGGGACTCCTTCGCTGTGCATCGATGAAAGCGGGCGCGCAATGGTCCGCGAGAGCCTGATACTGACTGCGAATCTATACGCGCGAATGGAACCATCACGCGACGAGCATGCGAACGAAACAACAACAACAACAACAACAACAACAACAACAACAACAACAACAACAACAACAACAACAACAACAACAACAACAACAACAACAACAACAACAACAACAACAACAACAATGAAGAGCAACCACATTACGGGGAACAATCTGCGTTCCACCAATCGTCTAATGTTCCGATCGGTTCGTTTGCACAGGTCTGGGGTGCTTGGCAAACGAGCGACGATAGCCTCTAGGCCCGAAATGGCCACTTGAGCCAAAATGGCTTGAGCCAAAATGGCTACGGAGGGGGGTCCTTATGGGCCTCTTAGGAGCTTTTGGAGGCCTCCTGGAGCTTCTTGGCGGCGTCTTGGGGGCCCCTGGAGCCTCTTGGGAAGCTCGCGGGGGCGAGAGGAGGGGTGATCGATTGCGGCTCCCCCCTCGGCAGCCACGATCCTCGTGAGGGGTGTCGAAAAATTGCCCTCCCCTGGAGCTTTCTGGGGGACCTGGCCGGGGATCGCCTGGGGATCCGCCGGGGGTCGGCCATGGTACCTTTCGTCCGGGGACCCCCAGGGGCCGCCACGCGCGCGCAAAGCAGAATATGATTAAAAAGATACCGGAGATCTTAGCATGCCTCTGGCCCGTTGGGCCGGCTAATTCGTTCTGCCCTACCTCAAAAGCATGAACCCGTTCCTGAGACCCTCCGTGAATCTATGCCAAACCTCCTCCAAACCTTCCTCATCCACATCTTCGCTCGGCCACCTCCTACTAATACGGTTCCTCCTTCTCCTACTCTTCATCCCCATCCTCCCCCAACTGCTCATCATTCTCATCATCCCCCTCATCATGCTCCTGCTCCTCCTCTTGCTCCTCTTGTTCCGCCTGCTGCTCTTGCTCAACCTCATCCTCCTCTACAACGGGGCATCTGCGACGCTATTGGGCTGTTGCGCGTTTCCATGGGTCCATGCTCTGGGTAACCCCAGGGGGGTACCAAAAGAGCGCATCCTTAGCATCCTGCTCATCACCATCACCATCATCATCATCATCATCATCATCATCATCATCATCATCATCATCATCATCAGCATCAGCATCATCTTCATCATCATCATCAGCATCATCATCAGCATCAGCATCAGCATCAGCATCATCATCATCATCAGCATCAGCATCAGCATCAGCATCAGCATCAGCATCATCATCATCATCATCATCATCATCATCATCATCATCATGATCATGATCATCATCATCAACAACATCATCGCAAGGACACTCTCTCAGGCCACCCCGGCGGGGCCCGTGGGAGTGTCCTCGCCCCCGGGGCGAGCGCACTGCCCCAGGCCACACGTTGCAGTTGTTGCGCTGGGGTCGCCGTCGCGCCGACACACACACACACACATTATATTCCTTCTCCCCCTTCGTCGTCCTCCTCTTCCTCCTCGCTCTCCCTTCAGCTCCCTTCTCCTAACCCGCTCCAGCTCCCTTCTCCTCACTCCTCCGCCTCCCTCCTCCTCCCTGTTCCTCCCCTCCTCCTCCATCCCCCTCCGCATCCTCCACGTCCTCCTCCTCCTCCTCCTCCTCCTCCTCCTCATCATCTCCCTCCCCTTCCTCCCTCGTCCAACTCCCTCCTTATCTTCCCTCCTCATTCTCATGCTCTTCCTCCTTCTCTACCCCATCCCCCCTTTTCCTCCTCCTTCGTCCTCCCCCTCCTCGCCCCGATTGGCGGGTGATCAATCCCACCCGTTGGAACAGCTACGCCTCAATGCTAAGAAGAGCTGGCATCGACAGATCAAGACGCAACGTAAGTATGAACGCCTGGCTGCCACGAGCCCACAAGCCACT